ACAGCCATCGGACATTTGCTGAGGTACTCCACGGCAGGCTCAAAGTCGATAATACCCTGTTCAAAGATCATCTCATTGAACGTCTGAAGCGCAGACGCTCTCCCTTCTTTGATATACTCGAATATATCCTGCTTGGTCGGAGTCTCTCTGTAAGTGGGATAATATCTGTAGTTAGCTTGCATAGAGAGGTGACCAGGGATATCAACGGTGACAAACGAAGCTGCTAACCAATAGAAACCAGAAGCCTTGAAATCAGGTACGCCGTTCGAGTTGTTGACGACATCGAAGTTAAGAGTGACTGGCCTGGCGTAGGGGGTATACGCTGGGGGACGATCCATGTTACGTCCCTGAACAACATTGCCTTCACAATCAGCGACCAAGAGGGCAGTGCACTCGTTATTGTCTTCGGCAGTAGTGCTTGATGGATCAGGGTATTCGATGTGCTCCATCTCAATTGCATACAACCAAGCCGAGAGATAAGGATAGCTCACGTAATGGCCTTGAGTACCGAACTCTTCCGATATGCCCCTGAGCTCACGAGCCTGCGTAGGAAAGAACTTATCAGCAGCATCAGCCAGAGTATCATAGTCTTCGTCTTGAAGCTTCTCCTTGCCAAATACGGTAGCATTGAATTCGCGGAATAGGGGCTCAAATGTATCCTCGTAAGCATACTCCTTGAGGACAGCTCTCACTGCTGGTTTGAAATGCTCCTCGGGGGGTTCAGACATATCAATGGTTACCGTGGGAGGTTCCGGCGGTAATTGACCATCTCCCTCAGCAGCAGATATAGCGGACATGACCCCACGAGGTGAACTGCCCAACAAGAATAGATATAAGGCTGCGATGAAGCTGGAACTCGATTTCGTGACGAAGGTCATTAGAAAAAGGTATCGATAAAACTAAATAAATAACGGATGATCCTCGAGTTCCGATTGTGAACCTGCATACTAGAAGTCTGAGACACATAGTCTATGCTATATACCGGACCTGGCAGCAGCTAAAATAACAGCTTGTAAGGAGCAAACGTTTCACAGTTCTGTGTGTCTAGTGTCCCTCCTATGATGGTGGGCATGCAACCCACGGAGCTCTGGAATCCAGAGTCTGGATCTAATCGCAGCGGAGGCACTTTCCGTGTTGTTTGCCTTCAACTCTTCTCGATTGCCCTATTGAGTTTTCATCTGGAAGGCGAGCCACTATTCGTCATAGTCTAATGAAATTAAAGCCGCCATCGGAGTTGATGATGCTGCTCATCAGAGAGTCGGATGCCTCGACCGGGGATGCCTACACCACGTACAATCGTTCGAGTGCATCACGGCCGGGGCCCCAGCAACACGTTCGGTCCTATTCCGACTCGACTTGGATCGAAGGCTCTTCCTATCATTGCTAAAGTCGGACCGGGGCGCCGTTTCTGGCATGCTGGACTATGGTATAAAGTCATCTATTCCTGGTCGTGAGAATCTCCTTAGCGCATCGGGGACGGTGTCCAATGATTGCAGAGGAATCGATCTTCAATTCCTCTCAGATTGCACATACTAGCCGACTACTACGTATTCACGAAGGAGTACAGCGAAACGATCGATTGTGTGGATATCTTCATTGAATTCTGTGCAAGCTTTTCCTCGGTTGATGGGTGCTCAGAAGATAATGAGTTTTTTCGACAGGCTCAGATCAGTTGGTCTCTTTGCTTCCGTGAATAGTAGTAGATGTATCCAACGCTATGTGGTTCGTTAGTGGCGTCATCAGTTTCTTGCATCTTA